CTCTCTCACTAACCATACATCTCTCTCACTAATCTTACATCTCTCTCACTAACCTTACATCTCTCTCACTAACCTTACATCTCTCTCACTAATCTTACATCTCTCTCACTAACCATACATCTCTCTCACTAACCTTACATCTCTCTCACTAACCTTACATCTCTCACTCTAACCATACATCTCTCACACTAACCTTACATCTCTCTCACTAACCATACATCTCTCTCACTAACCATACATCTCTCACACCAACCATACATCTCTCTCACAAACCATACATCTCTCACACTAACCTTACATCTCTCTCACTAACCATACATCTCTCACACTAACCTTACATCTCTCTCACTAACCATACATCTCTCACACTAACCTTACATCTCTCTCACTAACCATACATCTCTCTCACTAACCATACATCTCTCACACTAACCTTACATCTCTCTCACTAACCATACATCTCTCACACTAACCTTACATCTCTCTCACTAACCATACATCTCTCACACTAACCTTACATCTCTCACACTAATCTTACATCTCTCTCACTAATCTTACATCTCTCACTCTAACCTTACATCTCTCTCACTAACCTTACATCTCTCTCACTAACCTTACATCTCTCTCACTAACCATACATCTCTCACTCTAACCATACATCTCTCTCACTAACCATACATCTCTCACACTAACCATACATCTCTCACACTAACCATACATATCTTATAATCACCCTCATGAACCCTCACCAGCTTCCAAAACGTCCTCACACTCAGGGAATCCCAATGAAAGGAAACCTCAAACAGCCAAGATGGCCAGTCTGACAGCCCCCGCCAGCCGGCAGCCCCTGCCAGCCTGACAGCCCCCGCCAGCCTGACAGCCCCCGCCAGCCGACAGCCCCCGCCAGCCGGCAGCCCCTGCCATCCTGACAGCCCCCGCCAGCCTGACAGCCCCCGCCAGCCGGCAGCCTCCGCCAGCCGGCAGCCACCGCAAGCCGGCAGCCCCCGCCAGCCGGCAGCCCCCGCCAGCCGGCAGCCACCGCCAGCCGGCAGCCTCCGCCAGCCGGCAGCCTCCGCCAGCCGGCAGCCACTGCCAGCCTGACAGCTGCCACAACCTGAAACAAGGAGGAGGAGGAGGGAAAGGAGTAGTAAAAAGAGGAGGGGGAGATGGAGGAGAAGTGAAGAGATACGAGAAGGACTTGAGCAGAGACACAGGGAGGAGACAAATGTGAAGATATGGAGGAGGAAGATAGTGAAGAAGAGACCTGAGGAGGAAGAGGAGAAAAAGAGAAATATGAAGAGAAGGCGTAACAAGGGAAGGGAGGGGGAATTATCAGGGGGAAAGCGCCAAGCCATCACGACTATACAGCACTGGGAAGGGATAAGGATTTGGGATGGGACGGGGTGGGGGGGGGGAAGGAATGGTGCCCAAACACTTGGATGGCCGGGGATTGAACGCGGACCTGCATGAAGCGAGACCGTCGCTCTACCGTCCACCCCAAGTGGTTGACAAGCTACAGCAAATAATAACTCGGCCACGAAGATGAGAAATGATCGTTTTAGCCGCAATAAATGACGGAGAAAGTGGAAGAGAAAAGGACATGAAATATTAGGAAGATAAATGAGAGGAAGAGAAATGGGTAGAAAAAAATCTCAAGCTTAATTTGTAACCATCTCGGGGATCAATGCCTTCGCGTCCCGGTTCCTGACCAGGCCTCCAGCGGTTGGTTGGTGTGATCAACCAGGCTGTTAGACGCCGCGGCTCGCAGTCTGGCGTGCATTTATCTGACCATTATTCTTCAGTCCAAACAACAATAGCGACGAGCAGGAAAAAGGCAGAGACGTGAGGGCGGAGACGCCAGGGGCCAGCACCAGGCTGAGCCAGTCTTCCCTCTTGTGGACCTGAGGCCAGGCCTCACGTGGGCAGGGGGAGGGGGGGGGGGGGGGGAGGGGGAGGGGGGAGGGGGGCGGGGGGAGGGGGAGTGGGGCACGGGGAGGGGGGAGAGGGAGTGGGGCAGGGGGAGGGAGTGGGGGAGGCGGAGGGGGAGCGAGTGGGGGAGCGAGTGGGGAGGCGGAGGGGGAGCGAGTGGGGGAGGCGGAGGGGGAGCGAGTGGGGGAGGCGGAGGGGGAGCGAGTGGGGGAGGCGGAGGGGGAGCGAGTGGGGGAGGCGGAGGGGGAGCGAGTGGGGGAGGCGGAGGGGGAGCGAGTGTGGGAGGCGGAGGGAGAGCGAGCAGCATGGGTTTAGAAACCGCAGAGGGGCCCATACAGCTATAGCCCTGATCTACGAGCATATAGCCAACGCAGTGTCGAAAAAAGATCAGTGTAATATAGTGCTTAGAGACGTTTCGAAAGCCTTCGACAAAGTGTGGCACACAGGTCTAAAATATAAGATATCTGAACTAGGACTTCCTGAGAGATTTACTGCTACTCTGCAGCTTTATAGACAATAGAACTGCTAGGCTTAATATCGGCAGCTACTTGGGTGACGTAATAGAACTGAAAAGTGGAGTACCACAAGGAAGCTGCCTCTCCCCCACTCTATTCAACATATATACAGCTGACCTACCCCAACCCCAACATGGAGAATACATCACATACGCTGATGATGTCACCCAAATAATATGCCAACCGGGCCCATCAAAGCCGCTACTAGCCGACAAGACCAAGGCAGCAATTGAACTCATAAACAACTTTGAGAAGCAATGGAAAATTAGCACCAACAAACAAAAGTTCCAGATAATACACATTGCGAAAAGAAACCCGGACCCCATCATCCTTGATAACCAGCCGATCCAATATGCGGAGGTAGGCAGAATACTGGGACTTATGATAAATAGAACAGGGATACAAATTCATGTAAGGGACCGACTAAACAAAGCCAAAGCAGCATTAGGAAAACTGAGAAGATTCCGAAGCCTCAGTACTAACATTCAGATCCACCTATATAAGGCTCTAGTTCGGCCGCATCTAGCATATCCCCCAGTACCACTACCCACCATAAAGAAAACTAACATGCAGAAACTGCAAGCAGTACAAAATAAGGCGCTAAGGAGAGCAGCAAAACACTGTCCACCATATGATCAGACAATCCAGGAGCTCCACGAACTCCTGAACATACAGCCACTAAACATCAGACTGCAGCACCAAGCCATCAGGGTGTGGAACACCATTGAAATGTTAGAGGACCCAATGTTTGAAAGATTGCTCCAAGATGAGACACCCCACTCCCACACCTGGTGGCCCAAGAGCCTCGATTCTCTGGACGAAAACCCCGCCCCACAGTATATAATCCCAAGATGAGTTTATATATGTATATATATGAACAGTTCATATATGTGTATGTATGAACAACTCGATAAATAATATGTATGACAACTCGATAAATAATAATAATAAAATAAAGAGCATTAAACAGAATAACGTGTGTGGAAGCATCGGAGTGTGTATATATGAATGCTACACAGTATTCATCTATGGACATCCATATATGTGAAGAACCTCTCACACACTCACAGCTCCCTGACAAGAGGGAGCCAGCTTAGCTTAGCTGCCAACACCCACACATGGTGTCAGCAAGGCGGACAGCCCGCCTGCTACCATACCTCTCACTGTATTTCCCACTTCTATACTTCCCTTCACCTATGCCTCTCCTTCCTCTTTACTCAAAAAAAAAAAAAAAGGAGCAAGTGGGGGAGGGAGAGGGGGAGGGGGAGGGAGCTGCCTACATAACCACATAATAATACTAATAATAACCCCCACCCAAATAACTCCTGATAGACATTACAAGAAGAGCGTCATAACAGAGGTGGGGTCCAGAGGTGGTGGGGTCCAGAGGTGGTGGGGTCCAGAGGTGGTGGAGTCCAGAGGTGGTGGCGTCAAGAGGTGGTGGAGTCCAGAGGTGGTGGGGTCCAGAGGTGGTGGGGTCCAGAGGTGGTGGGGTCAAGAGGTGGTGGGGTCAAGAGGTGGTGGGGTCCAGAGGTGGTGGGGTCAAGAAGTGGTGGGGTCCAGAGGTGGTGGGGTCCAGAGGTGGTGGGGTCCAGAGGTGGTGGGGTCAAGAGGTGGTGGGGTCCAGAGGTGGTGGGGTCCAGAGGTTGTGGGGTCAAGAGGTTGTGGGGTCAAGAGGGTGCCGAACCCCACCACTAGTGCCGCTTTTCACACATGAAGGTGAGCGACTTCACTTTTTACTAGCAGTCATTTCCTTACCTCTTACCCCTTTGTATCTACCCTCAGTCTACCTCTTACCCTCTTCCTGTCTACCCTCAGTCTACCTCTTACCCCTTACTGCGGTCCGTTAAACAGCTCTTCATTTGTCTGTACCATGGTACATGTCAGAATATATCATATTGCATCTTTGAGGTTACCTTGGTGTTACCTTGAGGTTACCTTGGTGTTACTTTGAGGTTACCCATGAGGTTATCCATGAAGTTACCCATGAGGGTAACTCTCAGTGTCTGTCTGTATCTTAATAAACTTCATTCAACTGAACTTTTTCTCCAAAGTGCCGGCGGCCGAGTCCATAGTGACCCTGACCTTACGATATTTATGTTATGACATTCATATGTAAAGTTATTGTACCTTGAATGTTTACATAAATGTCTCTTACGAGTATTACAATGTCAACACTCGTTACAAGTTCTGTATTATGACAATTGAATTAGGTTACTATTTTCAACGTCAATTATATTTTATATGAATTAATTTAAATACAAAAAACTTTAATGTCGGTACATATCCTGTAGAATGTTTTATAACGAAGAATTACAGTTTCCTTTCATTTCGAATTCACATTTAGTACAATGGCAATGGTTTTGTGGATCAAAATATGTGAAATATGAAATGTTAAAATTCCATTATAGATCTGTATCTATTAAAATGGTATTATGCTTCACCTGAATGACTTGTTCATTTACCACTGTCAGCAAGAGAGTGTTCAACAAAGTGACGCTGAGTAACGAGACTCACGTCTCTATGACGTCCCTAAGACGTCCTTAAGACGTCCCTATGACGTCAATAGGATGTACATGTAAATCAAGCCCCACACATGAAAATAGGGCCGCTGAGGACCCGTTTGAAGTCATGTGTAGGACAGTACTGTACTGCCAACTGTCAGGACAGTGTCAGGACAACCCTGGCACCCGGCAGTGTCAGGATAACCCTGGCACCCGACAGTGTCAGGACACCCCTGGCACCCGGCAGTGTCAGGACAGCCCTGGCACCCGACAGTGTCAGGACAGCCCTGGTACCCGGCAGTGTCAGGACAACCCTGGCACTCGGCAGTGTCAGGACAACCCTGGCACCCGGCAGTGTCAGGACAACCCTGGCACTCGGCAGTGCCAGGACAACCCTGGCACCCGGCAGTGTCAGGACAACCCTGGCACCCGGCAGTGTCAGGACAACCCTGGCACCAGGCAGTGTCAGGACACCCCTGGCACCCGGCAGTGTCAGGACACCCCTGGCACCCGGCAGTGTCAGGACAACCCTGGCACCCGGCAGTGTCAGGACAACCCTGGCACCCGGCAGTGTCAGGACAACCCTGGCACCCGACAGTGTCAGGACAACCCTGGCACCCGACAGTGTCAGGACAACCCTGGCACCCGGCAGTGTCAGGACAACCCTGGCACCCGGCAGTGTCAGGACAACCCTGGCACCCGGCAGTGTCAGGACAACCCTGGCACCAGGCAGTGTCAGGACAACCCTGGCACCAGGCAGTGTCAGGACACCCCTGGTACCAGGCAGTCAGGACACCCCTGGCACCCGACAGTGTCAGGACAACCCTGGCACCCGGCAGTGTCAGGACAACCCTGGCACCCGACAGTGTCAGGACAACCCTGGCACCCGGCAGTGTCAGGACAACCCTGGCACCCGACAGTGTCAGGACAACCCTGGCACCCGACAGTGTCAGGACAACCCTGGCACCCGGCAGTGTCAGGACAACCCTGGCACCCGACAGTGTCAGGACAACCCTGGCACCCGACAGTGTCAGGGTATCAGGACAATTCAATCACCTTATGAATTAGTATGTAAGTGTTGTAAATAAACGTTGTTATGAAAGTTTTAGCGTAAAACCATTTTTAAATTCGGTCTCCCACTGGAAGTGCTCTCAACACAGACACTGTTCCAAGCTACTAATTTACTAAGCCCTTGCTCGTTAAACTTGATGAGGACCTCCCTTGTAAACACACAACGTAACGGTCCGTATTGTTACAACTTGTTACAAAGTTGTTATATCTTGCTGGAAAGTTTTTAAGACGTGGTAGAAAGTTGGTACAACTTGTTCGAATGGCGTAGCTTGGGCAGACGATGAGTCACAATAACGGGGCTGAAGATATGTTGACCAAACCACACATCACAACATGAGCAGACCACGACGTTTCGGTCCGTCCTGGACCATTATAAAGTCGATTGTGGTAATGGTCCAAGACGGACCGAAACGTCGTCGTCTCTTTATCTTCTACTGTGTGGTTTGGTCAACATATTTTCAAGTGCCACTTTCGAACTGAAGTGACTCCCACGACCAAAGCGATTCACAACCAGGTGAAGCCTGGAGGTGAGGCTTCACAACCTGGTGAAGCCTGGACGTAAGGCTTCACAACCAGGTGAAGCCAGGAGGTAAGGCTTCACAACCAGGTGAAGCCTGGAGGTAAGGCTTCACAACCAGGTGAAGCCTGGACGTAAGGCTTCACAACCAGGTGAAGCCTGGAGGTAAGGCTTCACAACCAGGTGAAGCCTGGAGGTAAGGCTTCACAACCAGGTGAAGCCTGGAGGTAAGACTTCACAACCAGGTGAAGCCTGGAGGTAAGGCTTCACAACCAGGTGAAGCCTGGACGTAAGGCTTCACAACCAGGTGAAGCCAGGAGGTAAGGCTTCTCAACCAGGTGAAGCCTGGAGGTAAGGCTTCACAACCAGGTGAAGCCAGGAGGTAAGGCTTCACAACCAGGTGAAGCCTGGAAGTAAGACTTCACAACCAGGTGAAGCCTGGAGGTAAGGCTTCACAACCAGGTGAAGCCTGGAGGTAAGGCTTCACAACCAGGTGAAGCCTGGAGGTAAGGCTTCACAACCAGGTGAAGCCAGGAGGTAAGGCTTCACAACCAAGTGAAGCCTGGAGGTAAGGCTTCACAACCAGGTGAAGCCTGGAGGTAAGGCTTCACAACCAAGTGAAGCCTGGAGGTAAGGCTTCACAACCAGGTGAAGCCAGGAGGTAAGGCTTCACAACCAGGTGAAGCCTGGAGGTAAGGCTTCACAACCAGGTGAAGCCTGGAGGTAAGGCTTCACAACCAAGTGAAGCCTGGAGGTAAGGCTTCACAACCAGGTGAAGCCTGGAGGTAAGGCTTCACAACCAGGTGAAGCCAGGAGGTAAGGCTTCTCAACCAGGTGAAGCCTGGAGGTAAGGCTTCACAACCAGGTGAAGCCTGGAGGTAAGGCTTCACAACCAGGTGAAGCCAGGAGGTAAGGCTTCTCAACCAGGTGAAGCCTGGAGGTAAGGCTTCACAACCAGGTGAAGCCTGGAGGTAAGGCTTCACAACCAGGTGAAGCCAGGAGGTAAGGCTTCTCAACCAGGTGAAGCCTGGAGGTAAGGCTTCACAACCAGGTGAAGCCTGGAGGTAAGGCTTCACAACCAGGTGAAGCCAGGAGGTAAGGCTTCACAACCAGGTGAAGCCAGGAGGTAAGGCTTCTCAACCAGGTGAAGCCTGGAGGTAAGGCTTCACAACCAGGTGAAGCCTGGAGGTAAGGCTTCACAACCAGGTGAAGCCTGGAGGTAAGGCTTCTCAACCAGGTGAAGCCTGGAGGTAAGGCTTCACAACCAGGTGAAGCCAGGAGGTAAGGCTTCACCTGAGCCTGACAGAAAGACCCTTACTCGTCCAGGTGCTCCCTGGGCTTAAACCCGTCGCTCTCGGCTTTGCTAAACTCAAAAAGTTGATATATCGTCAGCCATTGCGACATTGCATGCAATTCCTGTCAGGGTAAAGTAAATATCCACATCTCTCTTGCCTTATACTGACTTCCTCTCCCACTTCCTCAGGACTTGATATAAGGCTCCAGAGCCAGGATTCATGAAGCGTCTATACAACCACTGACGAAACCTGTACATCTTTTTCATAGCTGCTTTGTTTACATTTATTAAACAGTTTACGAGTTTGGAAACTTCACAACCCAAGGTTATTATTGTTATAAACAACCTCGTAGTGCTTCGGAGCTCATAAACTGTTCAATACATGTTAACAGAGCCACATTATAGAGGAAAGATGTACTGGTTACGCAAGTCAATGTGTAAATGCTTGATGAATCCTGATATTGAGTATCCTGGTTATGAGTATTAGGTATTGAGTATACTATCCTGTAATGAATCTAGTATATAACTAGTATTGAGTCCTGGTATACTAGTACTGAGGCAGGAACTGTCCTCACCTTTACAACCCCTAAAGGGCAACTGAAGGCTTTACCTGTTGATACATTCGAAAGTTTTTTCCTATTCCAACAGCCTGTCCTATGGGCAGCCATCTCTGGTGATTGTGAGGATGCTTGTCTTCGTAGCCCGTAGCCTTACATAGTCATCAAAGTCAAGTGGAGCTTACCAGTGGCATTGACACAATGCACGTGTGCATGTGAGCATGCATGCATACACCTGCATGCATACACATGAATTCACGCACAAACTTAGGTCTTCTTGAGGTTATCTTGAGATGATTTCGGGGCTTTAGTGTCCCTGCGGCCCGGTCCTCGACTAGGCCTCCACCCCCAAGAAGCAGCCCATACCAGCTGTCTAACTCCCAGGTACCTATTTGGTGTTAGGTAACAGAGGCATCAGGGTAAAAGAAACATTTTGCTTATTTGTCTATGCCTTCACCGGGGATCGAACCCGGGACCTCAGGATTACGAATCCGAAGCGCTGTCCACCCAGCTGTCAGGCGCCCCTGACAGCTGGGGCGATTCTTCACAACCGAATCAGCACCAAAATCAAAGTTGCAAGATAAAAGGCCGGAAGAAACAATGGACGACATCGCAGAAGAGGTATCTTTGCAGCAGCTAGCTGTAGCAAAACCAAAGATACCAGAATAAATCTCACCATGACTACTAACGAAAGCTGCAAAAGTATTTTCTCACCTCTTATCTAAAATTTGTATTAAAAAGCTTGTTACAAGAAATCATCCAGAATTCTGGAAAAAAAAGGCAGATGATGTACCAATATTCAAAAAAGTGAATATGCAGGAGGTGTTACTCCTGATGGCTGGCTAGACTGAATTTTCTTAAGTGTCACTTAAGCCATTTGGCACTGTTCCTCAAGAAAGACTTGTGTACAAGATGAAGACTTAAGCTGGGAGAGCTGGGAAAACAGTGAAAAGGGTACGTGGGATGTTTGTTGTTGTTTAAGATTCGCTACCTGGAACAAAAAGGACCAGGTAGCACGGGCTATGGTGAGCCCGAAGGGTAAGTGGGAGACTGCTAGCTGGAAAAATGTAACAAGTGGTTCCCTCACGAGACTCAAGTCCTGGTACCACTGCTCTTATTAATTTATGTAAAGGACCTATCCAAGGGATTGAACTCGTACACAGCAATGTTTGCAGATGACGCCAACTTCACGAGCAATATAAACCCGCAGGGAGGACTTCAGCAAGTTACAGGAGGACCTTGACAAACTCCAGGACTCTGCAAACACGTGGTTACTGAAATTCAGTCTCAACAAGTGTAAAGTTATGAAGATGGAAAATGGAGAAAGGAGTCCAGGAAGTATCTACACCATAAGGGGAAGACAATAGGAATATTATTCCAACATTAACACTCCAGAAAAACCCAGTGTGACATCGGCAGCACCTGCAACGGGTACAGCAAAGGAGTAGGCGGGACACGAAGACCTAGACCACACTTCACCATACTTACTGATGGATAAGTACTGATGGGTAGGTAGAAAAGTTCTCTCTCTCTCTCTCTCAACCCCAGCAAGCACAACACACACACACACACACACACACACACACACACACACACACACACACACACACACACACACACACACACACACACACACACACACGCCAATGTAGTCCTAATATACAGGAAGGGTAATAGACAGAAGCCACTGAACTACAGGCCAGTGTCCCTAACTTGCATTCCATTTCAAGTTGATGGAGAAGATTGTGCGAAAAAAGCTAGTAGAACATCTGGAGCGAAAGAACATTGTAACACAACACCAGCATGGGTTCAGGGATGGCAAATCATGCCTAAAAAGTTTAATTGAGTTCTGTGATCTGGAAACAAAAATCAGGCAAGAGAGAGAGAGGGCTGGGCAGACTGCATATTTATGGACTGCCAGAAAGCTTTTGACACAGTACCACATAAGAGACAAGTGTACAAACTGGAGATGCAGGCAGGAGTGAAAGCGAAGGTACTCCACTGGATAAGGGAGTACCTAAGCAACAAGACACAGCGAGTCGTCGTGAGGGGTGAAGTCTCGGAGTGGCAGGGAGTCACCAGTGGAGTTCCATAGGGATCAGTCCTTGGACCTATTTTGTTTCTGATATACGTAAATGATCTCCCAGAAGAAATTGACTCGTTCCTCTCAATGTTTGCTGATGATGCAAAAATTATGAGGAGGATCAAGACAGAGAAAGATGGTATGGGCTACAAGATGACCTAGACAAACTGAAGGAATGGTCTAACAAATGGCTACTAAAGTTCACCCAAGTAAATGTAAGGTAATGAAACTAGGAGGAGGAACTAGGAGGCCAGTCACTGAATACCGAATGGGAGATGAAGTCCTTCACGAAACGGACAGAGAGAAAGATCTAGGAGTTGATATCACGCCAAACCTGTCTCCTGAAGGCGATGAGTCACAATAACGTGGCTAAAGTATGTTGACTTGAGAATGGTCCAGGACGGACCGAAACGTCGTCGTCCCTTCACCTTCTAGTGTGGTCTGGTCAACTGTCTCCTGAAGCCCACATCAAAAGAATAACATCAGCGGCCTATGCAAGGCTGGCTAACATCAGAATTGCTTTCAGAAACCTGTGTAAGGAATCCTTCAGAACCTTGTATACCACATATGTGAGACCAATCCTGGAGTATGCGGCCCCAGCATGAAGCCCGTACCTTGTCAAGCACAAGACAAAGCTGGAAAAAGTACAGAGGTATGCCCCTAGGCTAGTCCCAGAACTAAGAGGCATGAGTTATGAGGAAAGGCTGCGCGAACTGCACCTCACGTCGCTGGAAGACAGAAGAGTTCGGGGAGATATGATCACCACATACGAAATTCTCAGGGGAATTGACAGGGTAGACAAGGATGGATTATTTAACACGGGTGGTACACGCACAAGGGGGACACAGGTGGAAGCTGAATACCCAAATGAGCCACAGAGACATTAGGAAGAACTTTTTCAGTGCCAGAGTAGTTAGTAAATGGAATCCACTTGGAAGTGATGTGGTGGAGACTGACTCCATACATAATTTCAAATGTAGATATGATAGAGCCCAGTAGGCTCAGGAATCTGTACACCTGTTGATTGACGGTTGAGAGGCGGGACCAAAGAGCCAGAGCTCAACCCCCGCAAGCACAACCTGGTGAGTACATAAAAGCTCACAAACACTTGCAGGGACAGTAAAGAGTAGTGACTAGGGGCTAGGGGGCTAGGGGCTAGACACTACAAAGCTGATGCATACTTAACAAACATAGCGGCAATAACACAAACAATAACACACGTGATGCTACACAGCACACACGTGGTGCTGCACAGCACACACGTGGTGCTACACAGCACACACGTGGTGCTGCACAGCACACACCTGGTGCTGCACAGCACACACCTGGTGCTACACAGCACACACGTGGTGCTGCACAGCACACACCTGGTGCTACACAGCACACACGTGGTGCTGCACAGCACACACCTGGTGCTGCACAGCACACACCTGGTGCTACACAGCACACACGTGGTGCTGCACAGCACACACCTGGTGCTACACAGCACACACCTGGTGCTACACAGCACACACGTGGTGCTACACAGCACACACGTGGTGCTGCACAGCACACACGTGGTGCTACACAGCACACACGTGGTGCTGCACAGCACACACGTGGTGCTGCACAGCACACTCGTGGTGCTGCACAGCACACACGTGGTGCTACACAGCACACACGTGGTGCTGCACAGCACACACGTGGTGCTGCACAGCACACACGTGGTGCTACACAGCACACACGTGGTGCTGCACAGCACACACGTGGTGCTGCACAGCACACACGTGGTGCTACACAGCACACACCTGGTGCTACACAGCACACACGTGGTGCTACACAGCACACACGTGGTGCTACACAGCACACACGTGGTGCTGCACAGCACACACGTGGTGCTACACAGCACACACGTGGTGCTACACAGCACACACCTGGTGCTACACAGCACACACGTGGTGCTACACAGCACACACGTGGTGCTACACAGCACACACCTGGTGCTACACAGCACACACGTGGTGCTACACAGCACACACCTGGTGCTACACAGCACACACGTGGTGCTACACAGCACACACCTGGTGCTACACAGCACACACGTGGTGCTACACAGCACACACCTGGTGCTACACAGCACACACGTGGTGCTACACAGCACACACGTGGTGCTGCACAACACACACGTGGTGCTACACAGCACACACGGTGTCAATGATCCCAAGTGTGCAGATGACTAACACTTTGATCTCAGCAAGATGTGCAACTATTCTCATCTATCCTACCTACGTGTTAAGGATTCTGGGGCTCACCCTCCTGGCGGCCCGGAAGCATCTAGGCTTCCTGGTTGCTGGTCTGGTCATCCAAGCTGTCAGACGTAACTTCTCGCACTGTGATGTGTCACAGCCTGGTTGATCAGGTATTATTTGGAGGTGTTTATCAAGTTCTCTTTCGAGCACTTGAGAGGTCGGCTGATTATGCCCATTTGGTTCAAAATGAGTGTGTTGAACAGTCTCGGGCCTCTGATGTTGATAGAGTTCTCTCTCAGAGTACCTGTTGCACCTCTGCTCTTCAACGGGAGTATTCTGCACATCCTGCCATGCCTTCTGGTCTCATGTGATGTTATTTCTGTGTGCAGGTTTGGGACCAGCCCCTCTACTATATTCCAAGAGTAAATTATTATGCATCTCTCCCGCCTGCGCTCTAGAGAATGCAGATTAAACAATTTCAAGCGGTCCCAATAATTTATATGTTTTATTGAGTGGATTCGGGCAATCAGAAATCTTTGCACGTTTGCCCATTTCTCCGGCTATGAAAGGGACTGATACTGCACAGCAATATTCCACCCTAGAAATGATAGGGTGGAATATTGTGTGGTTTCTACTTCACTCTGGCCTGCGGCCCGTGGCGTTCACTCTCACGTCACACTCACATCACAAAGAAATCACAATGGCGTGAGATATCAATGAAGATATATCAGATATATCAATTTGCAGTCCCTATGACGAAGTGGTAATACACTCCCCTGGCGTTTCGCGAGCGCTTTGGCCTGGGTTCGCTGTAAGAATAGTACCGTGTTGGGCACTATTCTTACAATATATATATATATATATATATATATATATATATATATATATATATATATATATATATATATATAATCTTTGGACAACACCCACCAGTGGGCCTCGAACCCAGAAAGCACAACTACCTTCCAGAAGCTGCCATAACTAGTACGCCTTAACCCACTACACCATCAGACCCTTAAAAGAAGTAGAGACTTCGAGGTATATATACTGGTGCCCTTGGGAAGTGGGGATATTTGATGTGTATATATACCTCGAAGTCTCTACTTCTTTTAAGGGTCTGATGTGGTGTAGTGGGTTAAGGCGTACTAGTTATGGCAGCTACTGGAAGGTAGTTGTGCTTTCTGGGTTCGAGGCCCACTGGTGGGTGTTGTCCAAAGATTGTTAATCTTCACTTGTGGTTTAAGCATGTATGGTCTTATATATATATATATATATATATATATATATATATATATATATATATATATATATATATATATATATATAAATATAAATATAACATACTCAGACATTATATGGGCTCGATTCCCGGGCGGGACAGAAATGGTTGGGCGCCTGACAGCAAGGTGCCGGTCGGCCGAGCGGACAGCACGCTGGACTTGTGATCCTGTGGTCCTGGGTTCGATCCCGGGCGCCGGTGAGAAACAATGGGCAGAGTTTCTTTCACCCTATGCCCCTGTTACCTAGCAGTAAAATAGGTACCTGGGTGTTAGTCAGCTGTCACGGGCTGCTTCCTGGGGGTGGAGGCCTGGTCGAGGACCGGGCCGCGGGGACACTAAAGCCCCGAAATCATCTCAAGATAACCTCAAGATAAGGTGGACTGCGCTTCGGATTCGTAGTCCCGAAGTTCCGGGTTCGATCCCCTGGTGGAAGCGGAGACAAATATGCAAAATATTTCTTTCACCCTTATGCCCCTCTTACCTAGCAGTAAACAGGTACCTGGGAGTTAGTCAGCTGCTACAGGCTGCTTCCTGGGGGATGTTTAACAAAAAGGAGGCCTGGTTGAGGACCGGGCCGCGGGGACGCTAAGCCCCGAAATCATCTCAAGATCTCAAGATCAAGTTAACTATTCTGCACTTACCCAACAGCAAGATAGTTAACCACCCCCAATCCCCCCCCCCCCTGTGGCTCAAGAAAGGCAGTTGGCTTCCTTAGAGGCTCTGATATCAAAGAGTGCCACCTCCTTCTCCGTCTCCTAGCCCGTCTCTGATTTCCT